GAGTATGCAAAAGATAAGGATTCCGCGGCACCAAGAGGAAGAGGAGGGCGTGGAGGTGGTCGTGGAGGGTTCAGAGGAGGCTATTCAGATAGAGGTCGTGGACCACCTCCAACACGTGGCCCTCCATTCAGAGGGCCTCACCCTGGTGAACGTGGTCCTCCCGGAAGGTCGGCTTATAAATCTGTGTCCTGATTTTTGAATGGGGAAAGAAAAATGACAGCAAAAAGTAATAGCTTATAGAAAAGTGTTTTGTTGCTGATTGGTAGAAAATCGCTTTGGGGAATTTGAAGATCTGAGGTTTGATTCCTCATAGCAACTCAGATTTGTTTCCTTGTCTCACACTTACACTTATGACTAGATTCGAAAACATCTTTCTTTGAATTAAATTATTTATAGACTTTTAGCCTTTTAAAGGTTGAGGCCTGTTCAAAGCTTGGTAAATAAATGTGCTGGACAAAAATGTTTAACCTTTTTCACCCCGATATCAGCATATGTATTCTCCATAATGTTCTCTACATTTTGTAGGGTTCTGTCAAGGAGAATACATTAAACAAGCAAGAACTTCTTTAGTCTGTTATCAATTCCTTTATTCTTGTGACCTTACAGTGTGGTTCATGTGTGATGTTGTAAAGACACTCAGAGCATCTAGCGTCAGTTTTAGCGCAGATCCTTCGTAAACCCTTTCCCTTTTTTTTAGTTTGATTTTTTTTACATGCTTTGGAATTCTTAAGACTGAATTATGTTGTTTTGTAGTCACATTGGGTGTAAGTTAACATTGATTATTGTATTATTTGCCTTGTTGTATTATAAGTTATCATTGACCCTGTCAATGTACAAGGTTTACCTGACCCATCATTGTTTTTGTGATTTTGAACCTTATAGGCCACGCGATGGTCCCCCTCCCCCCCGTAGAGATCACATGCCTCCCCCTAGCAGAGGACCCCCTAGGGGACCCCCAGGAGAACCACCCAGAGGACCACCTCCACGTGAGAGGTAAGAAGCTAACTGCTTTCACCTAAATTTACCATTTATTTACCAGGTTTTACTAAAAATCCCACAGTTATTGAAATACTGTTAGAGAAATTTTTGCAGCAGCCATTTCCTAGTTCTGTACAGAATCGAATGCATAATTTACCAATAACAGGTTTTGATTTTTTGCAGGGGTGTTCATAGGAACTGGCAACTGGCCAAAGCCTTTAGCCAGGCTGCCATTTTAAGTTGGATATGTTCACCTCAGTTTATAATAATTCATATTTAAAGTATTTATGATTATTGAAATAGTTAAAAAGAAATTTGTACAGCAGCCAGTTCTCTGTTTTAAGGGCAACTGATTCATAATTTACCAGTATTGGGTTAAGACTTATGAATCATTACCATATCATTGCTTTGAAGGTTGGCGTGACTTTGTGGAATACCTGGTTGTAGATATGCAATGTAGAGTACATTTAGTGTAAACAATCATAGTATTGATGAACAAGTCACTTAAAATTTAATCAATATTTTTTCTAGATATGATGACTATGGACCCCCTCCTGACCGTGGGTACCCCTCAAGGGATTATGATCGTGGAGGCTACAGTGACCGCGAGAGGGAGAGGCCACCTAGCTACAGTAACGACTACTATGGCAGCAGGTATGAAGAATCATGCAGTGTTCATGCACAGAACATAACATACAGTAGTTGTAGTTCACTCACAGAGAAATACTCATGGTAGAGGTTGAGCAAGTCAGCCACTCAATCCCACTTCAAAATGCGCAAGCTTGAAACATTCATGTTTGGTCATTTAACCCTTTAACCCCCAGAAGTGATTAACATAAAACTTCTCCCTACGATATCCATACATTCTTCAGCAAACAGGTAATGAGAATATTCAAACTCATCAGGTAGAAGCTGCTGTCTTGATCTAGCACCAAGTTCTCATAACTAATTTACAAGGAAATGTGTAGCAGCTACAGGGGAGAATTAATGATCAGATCTTGGAAGTTGGTAACCAGTCAACTCGCCGACGGACCAACTCGCCGACGCCAACTCGCCGACGTATAAAATCGAGTAGAGACGTCGGCGAGTTGGTCGTCAATCCAATACAACTTATTAGAAGTTAAACATACAGAAAAGTAAACGATATTTAGTAAAAAAACACTGGTGAACATTGGTGAACATCTAACAGAAGCTTAAACATTGGTAAACATTGGTGAACATTGGTGAACATCACCAATGACTATAACAGCTTAAGACGCGAATGAGAAGTTATTGTGCGACAACAACACCGTAAAGACTCATCATGTCAATCGCTCAGATTTTTCAACGAAAACTTGGCTTTCTAGACAAGATCTTTAGTAAAAAGCATTTCTTTTTATTTGCAAAAAAGTTTATAAGGATCTCAAGGCGAAAAAAGGGAAGTAAACATCACCAATGACTCAAACAGCTTCAAACGCGAACGAGTTATTGTGTGACAACAACACCGTAAATACTCATCATGTTAATCGCTCAGATTTTTTAACGAAAACTTGGCTTTCTAGACAAGATCTTTAGTAAAAAGCAATTCTTTTTATTTGTAACAAAGTTTATAAGGATCTCAAGGCGAATAAAGCGACGTTAACATCGCCAATGAACAAAATTGGCTGTAGACGCCAATGAGTTGTGTGAGTCATTGGTGATGTTTACTTCGCTTTATTCGCCTTGAGATCCTTATAAACTTTGTTGCAAATAAAAAGAAATGCTTTTTACTAAAGATCTCGTCTAGAAAGCCAAGTTTTCGTTAAAAAATCTGAGCGATTGACATGATGTCGCACAATAACTCGTTCGCGTCTTAAGCTGTTATAGTCATTGGTGATGTTCACCAATGTTCATCAATGTTTAAGCTTCTGTTAGATGTTCACCAATGTTCACCAGTGTTTTTTTACTAAATATCGTTTACTTTTCTGTATGTTTAACTTCTAATAAGTTGTATTGGATTTGACGACCAACTCGCCGACGTCTCTACTCGATTTTATACGTCAGCGAGTTGGCGTCGGCGAGTTGGTCCGTCGGCGAGTTGACCGTAATTCCTTGGAAGTTAAAGGGTTAAAAGTCAGTTACAGTTCAGTAATTACACTAAAATATAAAACGACCTAGAATCATGGTAAAAAACGGTAAATTGAACTTTACTACTTCAATACGCTCTAAATGCTATTGTAGAGAAGTAAGTTTGAAAAAATTAAGATCGTGATCATGAATTTTTCAAAACACCTTGTGGAGAGTCCATAGTGTAGGGAAAATTAGATCATTGGTGAGCTGACATTGTTACTGTAAGAAATACAGCAAACTAAAACTGCATGTTAGTGCTGTGGTCAAATGTTTTTCTTTGTTCTCGGAGAGAAAGGCTGAGGTTAGATTCCTCATGGAGAGTCCGAATTAATTTTTTTGTCCCCCGCACGGGACAAGACGAAAAACATCTTTCTTTACAACTCTTTTCTTGATTTGAAAAATTTTCCAAGAGTTTCTTTTTTTTCCTTTGCCTTGTGTGGTTTAAAAATTTGAGAATAAGTAAAAATTTGAACCAGCACCACAATATGCGACATAAACCAACGATGTTTGCCCATGGATTTCAGATATCCACCGCATGAACGTGGTGGAGGTGGCAGCAGTGCAGGTGGTGGAAGCAGTTACTCCAGCAGTGAGCGTGGTTATGGCCCACCCATGGATAGAGGTTACGGCAGCTCAGACCGTTACAGTAGTGCCGAAAGAGGATACTCCAGTGACAGAGGTTATGATGACAGGTAAATAGTGTCTCTTATTGTAGAATTTCAGTTACCTTTTGAGCCTGCGTTCTTCTGGCATTACCCTTAGACAAAGGGCGCAGTCTCTTATGACAGACGGTGCCGTTACTGCTCCATAAGTGGCGAATTCGCGAATGCCGTGTTAAAACATGGTGATGAATGATAGTCGGTTTCTCTAGCTTGTTCGTCTTTGTTGTTTATGAAGCAAAGTGCCGAACGAGAGAGAGAAAACCCTTCATTTAGATAGACAGATATACTGTTACTGACTTATCAGTAACCTCGATGGTGTTGCAGGTACTCAGTAAAGTTACAATTTCTCTTATAATGCCTCATTATCCAACGAGTGTCGTACTCGTAGTCGTATCTATTTTAAAAGAAAAATAAGCTGGTGGCTGGTCCTAAAGCACAATGCACTGTGTGACACATCAGTTTTTGTTTATTAGGTATGGAGGCAGCACTGGAGGTTCCGGAGGCGCTTCACATGATCGATATCTTCCAGAGAGAGGCAGCTATGGTGGTGAGCGTCAGGAGAGGGGTGGTTATGACTCTTATGGCAGTAGTGGAGGAGGCTATGGAAGCAGTGAGCGAGGTTATGGTGGACCCGAGCGAAGTTATCCCCCACCTGATCGTGGGTATGGGCCCCCTCCTGAGCGAGCGAGATCGGGAAGCTACGGTGGACCTCCCGCTGAAAGGCCGTATTCATCTGGAGGTTCCTATTCCGGAGGTGAGTGGTGACGAGAAGATGAACTCTTTCAACCCAGAGTTGGGTAATAATTTATGTTATCTCCAAAATACAGACACTGATTACAGAGGAGATGTGAATTACTTAAAGTCACAGTGCATTGAGTCTGCTAAATCATTCTTAAGGTAGCCTGGTGTGTGGGACTAATTCTACCTCGTATGGATGAAAAAAAATTTTTTTTTCCGAACTTTACTGTTCTTCATATTGGAAATTTCGCCTCAGCTATCGTGATCTTTTTCAGTTTAGTCCGGGAAACGTGGCGCGAGTGTTCACTAAAAATATATATTTTTAGCACGGTTGCTGAGTTGTCAGTAGCCTCTTTGGCACATGAAGATCATCAACCAGTCAACAAGGAAATAGTGCTGATGTGAGACTAGGGCATGGGAACCAACCCGGTCAACAAGGAAATAGTGCTGATGTGAGACTAGGGCATGGGAACCAACCCGGTTGAACTAGTGTTATTCAATTCCACCCCCCACCCTCTCGTCCCCCCCCCCCCCCCCCCCTCCAAGATAATGGAATACTTGTATGTTCTAAATGAGTGAGAACGCACCAGATGGTTATGGTTATTTTGATGTTGTGGTAACCTCCTGGTGGTTGCTTCTCGGATTTTCGACGGTGGTTTTTATTGTGCTATCATTGTTTTGGAGAAAATAGATGTAAAAGCCTTGTATCTCTCACCTCTCTAAAGAATCTGTTATCTCAAAAGTAGGTTTATGACCGAATCAGTCGAAGTTGAAAAGCTACATCCACTCCAGTTTATATGGTACTAAAGTTATACGCGCTAATACCTCGCTTTTTCAGTTACCAGTAATTGATTTTATCCCAATTGTGAATGAAAGGGGAATGGTAAAATTTCGCTCATCTTTACGCAGAGTGACAGCTTCTTGATTTTCGTACTCCGTAAATTCGCATCCATCCGGCAGTATCTCGGAATTGCTTATTTGTTCACTGCCACAGTTAATCCTACAGGGTATTCATATTCAGTTCATATCCTGAATCGATCCACAGCGTAACAAGTTAGTCGATGTGGTACATTAAGTTGAGAGGCCTGTTTCCCTTCGCCGTCTCATATCTTGTACGTGTTTTTATCTTTTTAAAGCAGGAAAATCCGTATGATCTATACAAGCTGTAGCGGTTATCACCACTGGACATACTGTGCCTCGTGCATCAAAGTATCATTTTGTCCTGTATGTCTAATTGTGTAATTTACATTTCGTTTGAAGGCCGCGACTGGTGATGAGGTGCCGAATCGCGCTCTCCGATCCTGCGGTGACCACCGAAGTTTCTTGCCGATGCACTTTAATTTGTTCCAGTTACAGATTTCCCCCTTACCTTGACTGTAAAGTAAACGCTTAAGTTCGCTTAATCAGTTCATCTGTTGCCGAATCCATCTTTGCAAATCTTCGAATGCCTAATAACGAACTGAAATCCGCTTTGTTAACGGACCTTGTAGATTCTCCTCGATTTTCGTACCTTCGGCATCATATGTGTATATGCGTGTAGCTTGTGGAATTTCGAATGTTGCAATGCATAGCGCAGACTTAAAGTAAATAGTATCTTGCTTTCATGTGCACATTTTGACTGAACGAATCGCCGTTTTTTTAGCAATTTTTATGTACTGATTGTGAGAGGGCTTGGAGGTAGTGTTAAAAATGCTTTTTTGCGCAAGTAGAGCTGTTTCTTTTTATTGCAAATAAAGAGTTGTATCCTGAAAATCCGATGTTTCATTGATTGCCGACTCGAGTTCAAGCAGCTACGATGTTCGACTGCTGTGGTAAAATGCAATGTCTTAAACTAACCGGTACATAGCTACGGATAAACTGAAGGCTGCGTTCGAAATAAATTTTTGAAGGCTTTTCTATTTCCATCTATCGTTGAACTCTGATTGTTTAGCTCGCAGCACTGCCTCGCTTCCATTTTCCGACTATCTTCATCTACTGTCTTTTCATGAGCACACAAGAAGCCAGCCGGTTTCCCGGCGATTCTGTCTTCGTCCCTTTCTGTCTAAGTAGGAAAACTTCGAATGCAAAGAAACAAATTAAACAGTTCGACAAGTCGTTACATTTGTGAAGGAAGTTGAGGTCCAATCCTCCGACTAAAAGCCTTACCACATCAACTGTCAAAGGTTCGCAATGTCGTTCAAAAGACCTTGACGAGGTGTCTTCTTGATCCCTGTACTTTCGATCATCGAAAACGATGGCTTGCAGTCTTATCCGTAGCTATTCTGACGGTCTGTTATAAACTGAATATTTGCATGTTCTTAAACTGATTACGTTCGTCTTACTCTCAGCGGAGAGAGTGCAACCTTCAAGCATTGGCTGCTGTATATAATACAAACATTCAATTGTTGTATTATCACGCAAGGCCTCATGTTTCGAGGGCTGCAAGATTTAGCTAAGCGGCTTCGAATTTCTGGCTATGATGAATTTAAAGTTTCTTCTCGAAACGATCACCTTGATGCCTTAAATTTATGTCGAGTGGTCAGTTAAAAATTTAACAAGTCTACATGACCAAAAAACGTATGTAATTGTGAAATATGGTAACTATAATAACCAATTGAATCCTACGCGTCGATATGCACGGTCTTTACCGTAACGTCTGTCGAATCGATGTTTTATTTGACTCCGTGCAGTTTGACTTACAAGATTGTGATAAACTAGTTGCATAAAAGAGGTTTCACAGAGAGAAAATCTCTCTTGTCATAAACCTTCGCGCATTGTTACCTCTGCCTTACTTTGATGGTCTTTCTTTCTGTTTCCCTTTTTCTTTTCCAAGTATTTAACCCTGTACACCCTCACGTGGTATTCTTATACTTCACACTGTTATCTTTACTTTTCTTATGATACTGACAAAGAGAATTTGTTTGACAATCACGATGTTTTAAATTACTTATCATTTCCTTTATAAAAGTGACCTTCACATTTGATTCAAGGGGTATACTGTAGAGGATATTAGAAGCTTGTCACTCTAAGGGGCAAAAGGTTGAGTGTAACGTAGAAAAAATTATCCAAATACCTTATTTCCTCAAATAGGCGCCCGTAGTCGAATAAGCACCCACCCCCTGGGCCAATATATCAAACAAGTGCCTTTCTCCTCTCGAATAACCCTTGCCCTTCCCTCACTTTTCTAACCGGTATTAAGGAAAGGAAGACCTGTTGCTATTACTACTTGATTAATAACTTTTTAAGCCTCAACTACAGCTGAATTAGTGCAGGTTCAACGGTTCTTAATTGGCGCCTTACTTCCATTAAGTGCTCCTCTTTTTAGCCAAAAAATCAAATAAGTGCTAGGCGCTTATTCGAGGAAATACTATACTCCATAGGAGATTTGAAGTAGGGGGAGTCAGGGACGATTATTTAAATTTAAGATCATAAAACGGGGTTAAACAACCCAAGACGAAGGTCATTTACCGATGAATGTCATACCACAGCCCTTACAATTACTAGATAAATTAAGTTCTATCTTAAGTCGTTGATTGTGATGAATGCGCTCAAACTCCCTCGATTGAAGGTAGGTAAATTGTAACAACTAAACTACCGTGTTTTGTTGCCAAGGTAAATCTTACAGTTTCCCCTTTTTCTGGAAACTCTTTTTAACGTGCCGACAAATTGCCAAACCGTACAAACACCGCATGAAACGTCGTGTGGTTGGCGAAGTTAATTCTCTTGCATCTGGTATATATGATCGGTCGAATGATCTATCAGTGAGCGATGAGTATGTCAGTTCTTGTCCGAATCAGCTTGTCGGGAAATTAAGTGAGTTTAAGGCATCAACTGAGGCCAACCTTCGTTTTTAAGCCATGCAGTCATTTATCAGTTATTAGGCTGAAGCCGAGACTACTAGTCAGTAGTGTAGTGTGATCTTCTAGTTGAGACTTTCACGGTAAGGACTGTTATTATTAGTAGTAGTAGTAGTGGCTGAATGTTTGCCAATCTAAGTGGAAGTCAGCGTGAGAGTTAACTGAGGAGCTGTTCATCAGTCGCCTTTGAGAAATTGTGCGGATGGCCTCTGCATAGGCTGTTGGACCATATTCTCTTAGTTGTTATTCAAGGCTATTCAAGTCATCTCGCTAATTTTTTTGGGTGTGTGGTAGAGTTTCTTTTGTCTTTGGTTTGTGCTTTATTTCAGCACGGAGTAACTTTTTAAAGTTACTTTTTATTTGAGTTATTTTCCATATCCACGCCCGTTTTATTTCAGCAGTTGACTTTCTTAAGGTTTACTTAACATTTACGTTCGCATTTTTCAATGCCATGCGAACAAGCTATGAATGGCAGTACAGTACTAGTTGGGAAGCAACGAGATACCGCACCATCGAGGGGCCTTGTTGATTTCGTACGACTTGATCGGTTGTATTGTTGCGTCTCTGAGAGCCTGCATTTAGGGTCCTTTTTTTTTCTTTTTTTTTCTGGTCCCTTTTTTCCAAACTCATCTTATTCACTAGTTATTTATTAAGAATCGTAGTTGCGGAAATCAGAGAGATGTGGAATTTTTTGTATCCTTTTTGAAATTGTCTGGTTTTTCTCAGTTTGCTATACCAGGATTACAACTTTTTATGAGTGGAGACGCCGAATGCTCTTTCATTATTTTTTTTTTTTTACTTTAAAGCGAACGTTGGGCTATTATTACGGAAATGATCAAAATACCACGAAGACGATAAAATCTCGACAGTGATTGTGTAGTAATTGTCACCTTTACACTTTTCACTCCGTTCTTTATGTGTTCTCCGAAAGAAGGACGGGCTATCTAATGCCCCCGTATGCAATAGCAATTCACTCTTCTGGGAGCGTGTTACAGGAATGGTGAAGCGCTCCAAAGGCGAGTCTAGTCGAGCGTTCATATTTGTTTCTTTGCTTGTTTGACAAAGATGAGCACTGGAAAATTTGGTTTAGTGGGTTAAAGTATGATAATCGGCTCGGAACAAAAGAAATTAAATACAGCAGGTAAGCAGACGTGACCAGTCATCCCAGACATCGAGACGGAACACAGTTTACCAAGCCTTTGAAATAGTATTACTGAATATTGGTACATCCTGGCAGGACTATGACATCGTCAGGCGATCAAATTTTTCTTTTGTAGTAAAGTATGTTTTCGTCGTAATTGCAGGACCTGTCAAGTTTCACTAATCATAACGTCGCGTTCCGGAAGACAGTTGTGTCCCTGCAATCTCTTGTTTTTTTGTTTTTTTTTGTTTTTTTCTGTCAGTTTCGTGCCAAGCCTCTCGCCGCCGCCTGTTTCACAGCTCAGCCGCTCGTACCGCAGCACCAATGAGACCCTGTTCGCTGGCTAAGATGTAGCTTAGAGAAGTTGTAACTAAATTTAGACTCTTGGAATATGGATCGCATGTGAATGCTGACAATGGGGTACCATACGCCTGCCGAGAAATCAATTGTGCGTTATTGAGCAACACAGCGCCGCTTAAATTTGCGGATAACGTTTTCGCTCTAGAAAGGCAACTAATCGTTCTATCCTTGTCCATCCCTGAATTTCCTTAATATTTTCGTAAAGTTTTAAACACCCCCGAAATTTCCTATGTTTATTCCTTTTGACGAAGGGCTAACGCTTTAGAAACTTCACGCCGGTCAGTTTACATTATCAACTCAGTTCATGAAACCGTTTTATCTGTTTGGGTAAAGGCCTTCCCCGAGAGAAAAGGACAAGTAAGAAATCGCTATCTGTAGGGTTTGGAATTGTATTTCTAAAAGGTTCGTTATTTTTGAAGTCGCAACTATCTCATAGGGATTTGGAATGTTTTTGAGTGCGTTAAAACAGATGACGCTCTCTTTTTTTATGACCCTGCATTGTCAGTTCCTTCCAGCGGTCCGGAGGTGCACGGTTAGTTGCTAAGAATTCGAGAGGTGGTCATCTACAAGTCTGGTGTATTGAAGATACGCTGTTAGTGGCAGACCATGTCATTTGAAGTAGCAATATCGACGAAATGTAGTAATAAACCTTTCCCTCTTGTTTGTCTGTAGATGAATTGCTCTACAACACTAGTACGTCATAGATCGCAAACCTGCACTTTGTCATTCTTGAACGATAATCGTTTTGAAATATGTCAGCTGTCGCAGCTGAGGTACTCTTTCGACAGAATCCAGACTTACTAGGATTTTAGGGCTTTTACTTGAAGAGATCCGTCGTTGCTGAGGGAACCGACTAGACGTATGACTCGACTTTTGTTATCTAAGTGAGTATCTTGTGCGGTGAAGTGTGCAATCTCACGCCTTATTTTTTGTACGCGGAATTGATTTCTAACGTTATCAAAACATGGCAAGTCTTTTGTGCTGTGAAGAGGCCAATTTCTTGCTTTAGTTTTTTTATGCTGAATTTCTGACTGACGGTGTTGAGAAAAACTGAGTCTGAACATGGCGGGTCTCGCAAGAAAAAAGGGCGAGTTTCTGACCCCGCTTTTTGTGTAAGCAATTCATTCCTCACGGGATGGAAAACAAGGAAGAAGATGGCGATTCCGTTGCAAGAATATTGGTCAATTTTGTTCCATGGCTTTTACTCGGAGTTATTTTTCTAGATATGGCGGGTCTATTTTGAAGAAAGAGGCTTATTTCGTACCTTTTTTTCTGCTCGGAATTGATTTCCAACTGTCTTTAAGACTAGTCTAAACATGGAGAAATCACTGAAAACTTTGACACACCTTTTATAGTCAACTTCAGCTCTTTTTTGGCGAGAGTATGGGGAGATTCTCTCAAGTGTCGTTTATTGCTCAGTTATTCGCGTTCTACCGAATCTTATTGTTGCTGTGAAGAATTGTGAAACGTCGAGTAAAGTTGTTTAAATGATGTTTTGTACTTCATTACTTTCTTTCTCTTAAACGTCTGAAGCACGTCACAAAGCTAAAGTTATTTTTATTATTAGTCTTCCTCTTTTGTTGTTTCGATTGTTGTTTTTTCTACAACAACTTTTAAACCTTGCTCATTTTTGTTGTTCATACAAGGGCAGTTTCTTCCAAAAGTTGAAAAAAAATACGTAAAAAAAGTTTAAAACAAAATTCAGTCGAGAAGATCAGATCAGTTGAAAGGTCAAACGAATGGTAGACATTACACATGTTGATGTCCGCTTATAATTTTTTTTTCTCATTGGAATTCACTGTACTTAATTTCGTGCTAAATGTCCGTAAACGCAGCTTCATATTAACAAGAGAGAAATAAAAAAGAATCACCTTAAAACTCATCTGAACAGAGTCGGCTCTGCAACTTCGCACCCGATCGCTCAATATTCTGGGTTTACCTGTATTCAGATCCAACATACTTAAAAGTTGTAACTTACTCTGTGAAAAATGGACTAAGATACAGGTGATTACAGGAATAAACCTGTACCCAAAATCTGTACCTGATAATCCATCAATTCTTCCTTTCTCCTCAAAGAGGCAGTTCGAAGTACAAGTCGAAATTCGTTTTTTTGATATTTTTATAGTCGTGAAAGAAAACACCGCAGACTATTGTGAATGTCATTTCCGTTTTAAGTTATTTCTTGCGAGAAAGAAGATTACGATTGTTGATTTTACCAGAGTTTTCATCATCAACATGAAAAAATCCGTGTTTGGTCAACCTGAGGGTTTTCATGTCTCTTCTTTTTTTATAATTTATTAAGGTGGACAAGTTGCTTCTTGTTCGAAAGTGGCCGATTTTGGCTCGGAAATGAAAATAACAGGAAGGTCAGATTTTTGTGGTTAAATGTAAAACGAAGTGACTTGTAAATGCGTGGGAACCTTCCGATGGCTTTGTTTTGCAATCGGAGTGTGCTTGTAAAGACTTTTGTTTTTAGCGGGTGTGTGAAACAATGCGCCAAAACAAAACACACTTTCGAAACAAAGCTAAACACGTGCTTTGGAATATGGCCTTGTAATGTTTTATTTACAGTGCGATTTATGAATTTCACAATGCCTCCGTAGAGCCACAATGTATCACGTCCCAAGTTCGTGTAGGCCATTCCAAGAGTCGTTTGTTTATCTTGCACAGTCAATTAGCTCAAATCGTTCTCACGGCCTCCGACTAAGCCGGTTTGAAGTGTCTGCTGTAATAACGGAAAAAAAAAAATTGGCATTCGCCGTCTCTATTTATAATCTGTCTCTAATATGCCCGCCAGACTTCCAGTCTCGTTGGTTAAATGGCTTTTATACGTTATAATTACTTTAGCATTTAACTTTTTGGTTCAGTATACCCGTCCTCACGCGCGCTTCGAACTTGAATGCCGACTCTTGCTGTTGGCTATCCAAGTCTGGCACTATTTGCATAACGCATGCTGAGAGGGTTTTGTTTCGCACAACAAGCGACCAATGGCAGGACTGCGTTCTCACGCTCTCTTTCTCAGCTGCCAGCGAACGCCAAAATACCATTCATGCGACAAAAATGCAGGCTCTTTAAAACAAAATGCGATGATAATAAGCCGGGGTTGGGAACTTGTAGACAAGGATTTTCCCACGGCTCGGAAGGTAAATAAAACGCCATGTTCACCAAAGTTCACTTTCATTTGTCCTTGTGTCGAGTCGAAGGAGGAGATCGTGAAAATTGCTCAGACGTTGTAGCCTCGGGAAAAAAAAGCCTTAAAAAAGATAGGGATGGTGCAAGAATCTACGAAACTGGAAAAGGAAAATGATTCAGAAAACCGGAAGGTATACAATGGTCTGGATTTTTCTTACGAAATCCTGATTTTTCGTAGCCATGCTTATCTTCGCTTCTTTTCTTACATTCGCCTCTGGAAAGCTTTCTTTCAAAATATAGCGTGTGTGAAACATTTTAAGTCTAACTTGCTTGAGGAATATAGCTGTCAACAACCTCTTAACTAAATTAAAATCCGTCTATTTTCGTTGTAGTGGTCTAAACCAATTATGGAGAAGAGAAGGCGCGAACGAATCAATCGAAGCCTAGAAGAACTGAAGAGATTAGTGCTAGAGGCACAGAATAGAGATGTAAGTATTTGCTGTGTCAGCAGAAATGTATCTGCATTATTTTAGAACAAGTGTTCGATGAGGGTCGCATTCAAATGAAGTAAATCTTTTGTTCATTTGCTGCTTGTAAATTTAGAGGAAATGTTAAAGTTACTGGCGCTATAGGCAGGTTATCATAGTGGCCCTTTCTGTTTTGCCAAACATTGGATTCCATCAGTTTGCGGTTGATATCGCGGAATCTTACCAAAGAAGTAAGACATATGGGTATTTTTTGTACCGCGTGACTGTACAAAGTCTATACAAGTTGCGTTTTAGCGTGCTTTTGCAAACAAGCTTTCTGTCAATCGTATTTAACATCCGTGACATCTGTTTTGTCTCGAGGAAAGAAAAAGACCGTGAACTGTCGTGAGTGGGTTAATGAAATAAGAGTATCAATGATGTTAGCATTTCGTGGTTGAGAAGATGGGGTCTTTCTCTCTGTTAAGGGTCGTTGAAGAAAATTCCAGTTTAACGCTCCAAAAACAGTTTAAGTAATAAAGTTTGATTCAAAATTAATAATTGCAGAGTTCTCGGTACACAAAGCTGGAGAAGGCAGATATCCTGGAGATGACTGTCCGTTATCTACGTAGTCTTCGACATCACCAACGAGCAGGTAAATTTTACCTCCTCTGGGATAATGACACGTTAATATACAACTAATAAATGTCAGTACATGTTACCGTTATTTCAACTGCTCAATTGTGAATAGTTTATGACTAGTAGTACGTTTTAAGCATTTTAAGCTTATGTCACTAGATACGACAGGTGCAACCTGTAACATTTGGAAGACTTTTTAATCTCTCAATTATTAAGTAATGAAGACATTGACGTGGGTTGAAAAACAAAAGAATCATTGTGATGTTTATTATGTTAGGTTGCAAAAACGCCGTCTAAGGCTGGAAAAACTTAAAATATACCTTTATGTACAATATAAAAGTTGAAAAAACTCGTGGCAAGAACGCTATTAAGAACAAGTAAAAGTAATATATTTTTTGGGGGGGTTATCTTTACTATGGTTCGAGCAAGAAGCAGGTTCATTAGCTTATGTGTCTTTATTCTCAACCGCTTCAGGATGTTTAAGTGAGTCGCTTGTGTATGGTCCATTGCTTTGGGGTTTTTAACTCGATAACACTAACTCTTATACTGCGGCTTTAGATTCATTGAATTGACCTAGAGGCATGCTGTAAAATACTATTTTATCTCAACTCCGTGGATAACTCGATAATTCGATTTGAGTTTGAAAATCATCTCGTCCGAGAAAGCTTCTCTCTCAAACAAACAAAACAATCTAATCCATTTTAAGCGATGATCAAAAGAAACCCTTGTGGTCGAAAGGTCATCTTGATAAACAAATTCAGTTTAAAGTCCACTCCATTTTGATACTGGTAGCCTTTTTTGGGAAGATCTAATGGAGTTCAAGCAGAAGGAAGGCCAAAAAGCGCTGATTAGTTTATGTGATTCTTTGAAAGCCTGGATAGATTTTGCAATTTACCAGAAATAATTTTTAGAAAAGAGAGAACAACTTGAACCTTAAAGATTCAGGGGAGGTAAAATTAGAATACGAATGAGAAAACTGATCATTATTTTAGTGGCTTATTTTTGCAAAGTACTGTTTTATTTAATTCTTGTATTAAAAGAGAAATATCTTGTCCCTTGTGAATTTTCTGCTAGATCTCAAGTAGGAATTATTTCTTGTTGTTGAAGCTTTCACAAATTGGGATGGACTTAAAAAAGCGTGGCGTGGGGGTTTTACCCAATTGGAATGAGATACAACTCTTTTCAGTGATTCATGTTCATACTTCTTCAAGGTTTCTTTTCTTCTTTCAGTCGCCATGCTGCTTTACTGTGTGAAATATTTTGATTTTGAGGTCTACGCCAGCCTTTTACCAACGAAAAAATTATTAGAGTAGGGCAAGTGTCCTCAGTTTATACAGAAAATCCTCTTTCCCTTACAGTTTTGCGTTTTAAAAATGTTCTCTGTTTCTAGTGATGGCGACTGCCGACCCTCACATGCTACTCAAGTACCGCGCCGGCTACAGCGCATGCGTGGCCGAGGTGTCCAAAAACGTGATTGGGGACGATTCCTTGGAACCTGATGTAAAAACTCAAATCCTTTCTCATTTAACGGGCTGCCATACAAGTCAGAGGGGAGCTGGTGACATTACAATACAGTCGCCCGCAAGATATCCATCATCAGTTCACTATGAGAGCACTTCGGACCTTTCCGTGAAGGAACAAAGACGGTTGTTACCTAAGGACACTACGAATTCGCATGCATCCCAAGCTCGTACCACAGTTTCTCCTTACATGGTTCAAAGCCATCGAGTACTTTCTTCACCAGGGACCATTCCTCTGCATTATGTCCCCGTCTTAGGTACCGACTCTGGGACCTCTTCAGGATTGTACCACGCGCTGGTCCCAAGTGTATCTTCTCCCGGTTTACACCTCACAGACCCTTTGTGGCGACCTTGGTGATCAAAGTTGTGAAACGCTTTTATCAAATATTAAGGAATAGAATTATAGCGTAAATAAGGAGTTTAAAAAGATGGCTAAAGTAATCGCGTTTATCTCCGAGAGAAAGTTTTCACCTTAAATTTAGACGCTACATGTGAGAAATTAATTTTTAAAAAAATACACTGCTATTCAATAGGCCCCCCTTACGTCTTTCTCCCAAACGTTTAAATTCACTTGAAAAATCGTAAGGTATTGATGTTTTCAGCGTACAATTTAGATTGGCTCAATTCGATCACTCCATTATCGCATTTTTAACACGCATTTCTGTAAAACAGCGACCTAAAGCAACTGAGCCGACACAATGAAAGTTAGAAATGAAAGTATGAGTATTTTTACTTTGTTGTTCCATGATGCAAAATGGCAGATGCTTGAGAAATAATGTAAATAGTATCGAATGATTTTAGAATTAAAGCAAGTGCAAATTCCGTTTCTTTCTCGTGCTTTTTTTTGTTTCTTATTTGAATTAATGTTCATGAATATATTTATTACAGGCCCGATACGAGGCTTTATGATCAAAATAGGCTGTTTTCCCAAGATCTGTACAATTCTAGAATTTTTAAACTACTCTTAGTTTGACCCCAAAAGTTGGCTCTAAAGTGTTACTCTTGGAAGAAGAAAACTCTTACGTAATATACTGGGGAAAACAATGCCTTTAAGGGTCGGCAGTGATAAATACTGAAGGCCAAGTTTTACGGTAGAGAAGTGCTAAGTTTTCGACGAGTAAACGAACTCGCTCATCTTCAGGGTCTGGGCGGTCCGGGTTCGATTGTCACGTCGAATAAAAAAAGAATTGCAGCGTACTTAAACTTCAAATTTATTGATTCGACACACAATCGAATGGAGGGGATGGGAGATTAATACGGGTTGTAAGTGACGACTCTTGGTTTCTTCATGCCTGTCTCTATCGTGGCCGCGCTTTCAGCTGCCACGCAGCGCTCTTTCAAAGATCCTATAAACACGAGTGTTCCGTTAATCTTTTCATCTCCGCGGGAAAACATGTCTGCGAAAAGAAAGAACATTGGGAAGGAGAGGCACAAATCTTAGTAGCAATCCTCGAAGAGTGATTAGCGATAGCCTTACGTTAGCGCGCCGGAGTCCCAATTTTAAGAGGTCTGGGTTCGAGACCTAGACGGGTCATTGTGTTGTGTTCCTTGGTGAGTAGCCTGTTCCAGGCGTTCAGTTATTAAAACGAAGCGAGATAGTAAACGGCGGAAGAGAGAAAAAACGAAGGGGGTTAGGGTTTGGGTCCTTTCCCTCCCCTTTTCAGTCCGCGGATACTATTGCGCTGATTAGTCTTTCAGTTGCTCCCTTTAATAAATGAACGCCCGGAACAGGTCACAACAATCACAGTGCCTCTTTTCCCCAGGGGTGTAGATGAGGGACAGGGACAGCCCCCTTGGAGTGTAGATGGGTATAACCGAGTCGGCAGGGACACCTAACGGAATTCCGGGAGGTGTAAACTGCATCCGGTTTAGGGGGAGTTGCAATTCAACCAGTGGCAATGCAACTGTCGGCCAGAAAAGGCTCCGGCAGAATGAGTCACTGATTTACCTTACTCTTGAAAGACTAAGGTGAACTTGGTTTTTCATTTACTACAATACTTCATTTCATTATATTACCTCAGCTTTACTTTAAGTAATAAAATTGATTTTTAAAATCATTATAATATTGCACGATGTTTCCTTGGTTGTTGTTTATGGATATTTTGGATTGAAGTACAAATGCTCATTTTCAGTATGTCGTAGTTCCTAATAAACCTTCAAAGCACTTGATATCGTCCAAAAAGTGACGTTCTGCTTCACCCCTGCCTGCTCAGTTTGGTTGTCGTATTTATTCATCATTATCAGTGGGTCCTACATTCACAAATCAATCAATTCCTACGTCATTCTGGTTGACGAGACCTGGGAATACTCTCTCATAGCCTGAATATCCAATATATATCCCGTGTCCATTCATTCACCACCGCCTGATGACTGACGCTTTATTGGAAATTACACAAAAATGTGTCTTAAAGTCCCGGGCACCTCGGCCACTTAAGCTTTGTCGATAGGTGTAATGTCCTCTGTACTACTTTTTTGTATCTTGTGGGATTGTTTACCCCCGCTGGGAGAGTTCATTAAGCGAAGCCTCAGTTCCCTGATTTCTTTGTCTTTCTGCATGGTTAAAAAAAAAAAAAAGAAAAAAGAAAAAAAAGAGAAGAAAATATATGAGCTTTAAATGTTTGATCACACAATCATATATATGACCGTTACATATCAGGGGCTAGAATGTAATAATTGTATCTTGGGGCTGAAAATATGAAAGCGTCGGTATTATATTGAGTTTGGTTTGACATGTACCAAATCTGGCAATCAAACGCGAATTGAAATCATCTCAACGAATCAGATGCAAGACAAAAAAAGCAATACGACCAGGAAACTCGATTTTTCCCGCACTTGTTCCATTCGCTCCTTGTGTATTTTCCATTCCTGTGATCGGATGCTGCGATTGCTCTGGTTTTACTTTGATAGCATTGAACCATCAATGTTCTTTATAGGGTTAGTTACCTGACAAGGTTAGTTAACTTACAGCCTTTATCTTATCCCCTTGCACTTAAAAGGCAAACAAATAAACAGGTGAAAACAAAGCAAAACAAAACAAAACAAGAATGCTTGTATGATTAAGTTATTTTGGATGAACTTTTCTAGTAAGTGTGTTAGGAGTCTATTGAGATCAGTATTGTGCAGTAATCTAACTATAGGTAATGTATTGCGAGAGAGAGTTTGTATCTTAAATAACGTATGGTCTCGGGGATAGATTTTGATAAAAATTTTTAAAAAATCGTTTAAAACTATAGAGTAATTTCTATTCTTACCTCAGCCATTTTCCTCTTGAGTTCCATCAGTTGTCGTTCTGTCTCGATATCCATTGTTGGCATAGTGTTGTTTGTTTCAATAATTAAGTTATTGGTGGTAAACGTTCGGCACAATTCCTCACCAACCAGTCTAGCACGTTTCATTTCTAGCACCTTAATATAAAGATCGATTAATTTCGGTTTAGTATGGATAGATTTCCAGGGAGGATGGTAGATAATTAAAGAAGGTAACTAGAATTTGCGATACAAGATGCTACATAAATTTTTATGATGCGCTGAATCTTCCACGCGTTATGATTGCTTCTTACATATGATCAATACGAAGACAGATGCATAGATAACGTCACCATAAGCAACACCTTGCTTTTTCGTCATTAAAAAAAAAAAAAAAAAAAAAACTGGAAAACAAGAAGATTGCACATTGTGGTGGGTCTGTTCAATAAAAGATCACCCATGACATCAAAATGTGGTTAGAACAAAAAAGTGGCACACGAAGCGCACCTAGCTTGTTGACGTCATCTGTGACCTATTATTGAACGGACGCACGGCAACATAGACTATTTGTGTTCATGACTCTTAATAAATATTATTTACCTTCGGTATGAACACAAGACACAGAGTAATAGAGGTACAGATGATAATGCAAACAGAGATAATAGAAAACGAAGCATCTGGTTCTTCCCTCATGGCCAATGATATCGGCGCACCAATAACGCACAGGATAAACACGTTGTACACAGACATACCAATGTACCTACAAAGAAAAATACATCACCGGTTAACGAGACATACGCAGTGGTAGTTATTCTCAACAATGTAGACCTAAAGAAAGTTTTTCAAAGATCTTAAAGAAACAGTATTTATTTTTCAATATATACCAACCTAGTCGAATCTGAAAAATATATTCCTCGAAAATCTAATATACTAGATTAGTTAAATCTACTCCACTCAAATCTCATCAGTAATTTTCTTTACTGTCTACTGTATAATACTAATAATGTTAGTTTAGGGAATTTAGTATTGGATCAACTTACGATCCCTAATGATATTTTACTTTATTCTCGTCACTTTTCTGCTTTATAATGTATTGATATTCTACCGAGAAATTCTGTCTTGGTCGCTCATGGGAGTTAAACGATAATTCTGATTGACATAATGGCTGACGTATTCGCGATGGTTGTCTTTCAGTTCATAGAGCGGACCTACCCTCCAAACTAACGGATTTGCTCGTCCATAAAACAATCAGAAAATTCTTTCTTTGTTTGACATAGTATACTGATGTATGTAGAATATAGGTTTTTTGAAAGAATTCTATCAGCCTTCATGGAAAGCTGGAGCTCGTCTGCCCACTTCTAGGCAGTGCGGTGGCAAAAAACCAAAAATTTTTACTTCTTGATGCACAGCGTACTTGGAATCATTTAGCGCAGGTATTGAAACGTTTCTTGTTTCCCATGCAAGGAACGCCCCAAATAACAATAGAAGTCCTTTGTAGCCACACAACACACCAAGCCAGCGGTATGTTAATCGAGATTCGCACAGCTCCAGCTGCTTCACTAAAGTAATGTCCAAATCGGAATCTAAGGACTGAAAACAAACAAACAAACAAAAACGGGTTAGCCGTTAACAATAAATTATGTTTAGTATGAGCCTACATGTCACAGTTGAGAGCAGGTATAGCACATTGCCGTTTGCCAAGAAGAAATAATTTTGTCTTGCACTTTCTTGGGATTCCACCCACAAAAAGGGCGACACGTTTTTTTTGTGAGGTTCGTAATGTTACAAATAAATTCCTTTTTTTTCGCATTATGCGTTAATTACGGAATGGTTTATCCGCAGTCAAGTTGTCACGTTTAAGTAATAAACGGGTAACATTCCATCTGGCAACTTAAATGATGATCGCCATTATTAACGAGAAAAAGCATTTATTGGATGAGTCTGAGCACAATGGCGATAGGGGAATAGCACAATCAACATTTTGATAATTCTCGCTGTCATGTGCACACAAAGTCTGAGAATTGTTACTAAACATAGGAAGAGGCAAAGTGTTTTATGTTGTCCTTTTAAAAGCAAAATATTGTTCCCGCAAGACACGAAAAAGCCGTGCAGCGTCAAACTATTGAAAATTTATCATATTACATGATAGTTCTCACCTCTTTCACAAACTCACGCACAATTCTTGTCATAGGATCCATCAGTTGCCAGACCGTGAGGTAGATGACGTCAGCAGTTACAAGAAGACAGACAACGGCAAATAGATGTCGGTCTTTTACAACCTGAAGAACGTAAGCGCAGAGCCAGTGATATCGTCAAAAGCATAGAAAAATTTTTTCTCGTGAGAGCCAACGTATTTTGCAGACAATCACCGACGAGTTGTAACATTTGACAGCTGTTCATTAATATTTGCGATCAATAAACCACAAAATTTCTGTTTCTGGTTTCTGTTACCCCTCTTGCATAACTGAAAGTTAAACTAGCATTTTATTATGCTATTTTGTTTTTACTCAAGAAAGTAAAGCCAGCTTTTAAATCAAGTGCCTGCGTTGAAAAAGAGATCTGAACTTCAGTTTGCTTTACAACGTTAATCACCTTTCGTTTTAATTTTTTGTTGGTAAATATCAAATGTACTCGCCAGGTCTTGGAAAACATGGCGCCATATGCAAGACTGAAGCCAAGAGAGAGGGTCCAGGCTCTGCTCTGAAAAAAAAGTTCGGAAAGTGTTAACTTGAGATTTTAAGCTGACACTCGAGATATGTGCTTGAAATTCCTCACATTTGAAAAAGCAGTTAAGTCGCAATTAACAATTGAGTTCAAATTTGGCGGAGGCTGTCATCATCCTATCGATAAAATAGAATATTCAGGCAATTTAAACAGCTTTAGGCATCATGGTTATGATGCGGAAACATTTCTAAAATAAAAGCAACTGTGTTGCAACTCAGTACTTCTGAAGTTTGATCCTCACCGCGCATATAATCTCGTAACCACTGGAGATAAATCCGCCATCCAAACCAAACAGAAACACTGAGATGTAACTTAACGTGCAACCCAGTAGAACAGAGTTGTTCAGATTAGGACTAGACATCTTGATGAACCTTTTGTGTAAATCAAACACAGGTTATGATTAAGTTTAATAACAGTGAGATGTAAATAAATATCGCCACAACTCTAAACTGCATCGAGTTCGGCTATGTTTCTTAAGTCTATTACGGTACCCGGATGAATTATTATCAAAATACACATTAGAGAAAGGGATTCTAGCCCCCCCTCTCTCCACCCCAAAACCTGGCAAAGCTCCTTTCCCTTTCCTGCGTTTCAGTGTCGACATAATTGAAAGTGGCTGCATCAAACCATCTTGGTAAAATGATCACTGTTTCATCAGAAATTCTCTTTGCGAGAGGAAACGACTGCTTGCCTCCTCATTGTCAAACTTGGAGCGCAGAAAAACTGGACGCTGCTAAGATGGCAATCAGGTTTGGCTCTGCCGCTGAACAACGTAAAAAAATTTATGCAAGCCTGAGTAAGAGTATACACTTGGCTCCGTGTACGGTATCCCCCCCTTTCCGCCTTATCTTTCAAAACGCTGCGCCGCCTCTGTGATTCACGTGGATCCCGAGCATCATTTCATACCTGACATTTCTCTTAGTAATGTTAAACCACAAAAAGAACAGAGAGATGATTATAGCCAGTGACGTTAGTACCGCCATAAATGTAAACAGTGGAACAGATACTGACATCAACTCATACACCAACTTGGTTTTGTCCCTTGGGGGCGATCCTCCTATTACGTAACACCATTAGGACAGGTAAGTGTTGTATCAACAAAACATTGGAGTTCAAGATTGTAGTTTGAATTGTTAAACACTGTTTCATGTGCGCACATGACAAAGTTTTAATTCACCTTTCCATGTAATAGGTTCGTAGTCTTCCCAAGTTATCTCACCCGTGTTGATGCGATAGAGCCCAACGGTTACGTACCGCCCATCTATAAACGTAAAGAAACACGTTATAGATTCTATCACACTGCGGTAATTACTTATGGTATAACGAAAATAAAATCGGAACAGCCCTGAGTACTAGATAACAGATAGCTCTGGTTTTCTTCTCCACAACGATGAAAATAGGCTGGGTCTTAAAGAGATTACTCGATAGATATGTAAATATTTGAACGACCTTTCATTTGAACTATTTGTGTGTCTCCAGCTCTGTTTCCTTCGCTGGTGAAACCAACGGGGCCCTGAGGAAAAACAGAGTTAGTGACGAAATGGTTTGGAAAACTATTGCCCTCAACGCTATTTCCACACAACTTTAAACCACATTTTTTAAGCGCGTTTTTGACGCTCTTAATACTAAACTTCCACACCAACTCTTAGCGCACGGGGCAAAGAGTGAGGAATCTTCTGGGTTCAAACATTAAGGAATCGTTTTCATTTCAAATTTCTTCCTTTATCGAGCAATATTGCATAGCAAGAGAATTTTATGTTCTCGAGTCATTCAAATGATACACTTTGCTTTTTTTCTTCATTCAATCAGTAACGATAGAGCGCTACCCTCCCCACCCCCCCCCCCCCAAAAAAAAGCAAACAAATCTATCATAAGTGTCAATTACAAAGCTTGTTTCAGCTCACCGTTACCCCTGAAAAGTTGGTTCCTCGAAGAGCTTTAGTAAGTGCAACTGATAAGGACTTGTTTCCATATGGTACATTATCTAAACGCGTGGTAGGGGAAAGTTGAGGGATGGTTCTATTCAGCGCAAGGGCCACGGCCCACACAGCGTCGTATGCGTAGCCACGGTGAACATCTCGTGATTCTAGAGGGACTTTGGCTTCGTATTCAACTTGGAAATCTTTAACCGTCTAAATGAGAGATAGGGAAGCCTGGAATAAGCTTGAACAACTGGAAATGTTGCTACCATGGGGTGATAAGTATGAGTATTACTAAGCCCTAAAGCTTACTCCCCTGTCTAAGCTTACGTTAAAAAAACTAGATCTTGCAAATAAAATGAAGAAAGGTTCGACTTGTATGCTAGATAATCTTAGCCACTTATTAAACTGGAGAATACGTCATCGAGAAAAAATGTTACGACTTCCACTTTTCATCTTTTTTCTCCCACTGGTGTGTGTTCATGAACCTTATACGCAAGCAAATAACAGGAATCAATCATGTGCAGTAAGTATGCTCAGTGCAATATAAGGACTTCCCTAACTAATTTCTAATAACAGGAGAAAGACACAGGAAACATACCTTTCCATAGACTGTTTTTGCTTCTGACCCAGTACTCCACAAGTAGTCTGTTGCTAGGTGACCATCCATAGCCTCAAACAACTGCTGTGACGTACAAGTGATACTGGAGTCGTTGAATAGCCACCAGTTTTTCTCTATATACCCAAGGAGAATCCAAACGTACTTTGCACCGTACATGCGCAGTTTGTACGCCTACAGTATCAGGAATATACTGGGGGTTAAGTCTTATGAAGCTTATAAAGGCTTCCATTTGATGAAACGAACAAAAACATTGCTACTCTTCATTGGAAGTTGTTGGTCCAGAACAGTTTTTTGCAAAATAGATATGTGAATAAACAGAAAGATAGAAAGCAACATCACGTTAACCCTGCTAGGCCTCGAACCCGAACATTTCGATTTGGAGTCTTGGATTACCATGTCTCGTTTATGAAATTATCGTGCATTTATTTAGTACACTCTCCATACTAAAACCCTCTAATTTGCTTTACGCATCTTGCGGAGGACTTTTGCCAGAGCAGCTCACAATTTTTCAAGGGAAATTTTGCAGGTGCCCCCAATTTAAGAATGTTTTCGGAAACAAGCCCAGACCACAATACCGGGAGCTGCGTTCCCTACTCTTTACGAGAAGTGTATAGAAACGGGGCCTGCGGTTTATCTTCCTTATTCGAGAGGACCACAAAAAAAATAAATAAATAAATAAGTAAATAAAAAAAAGAGATAAAAAATAAAAAAATTAAAAGTTTGGTAAGAGCAGAAGATGACGGTCATATGAGCTTACCTCGCAAAACACTCGTCGAGCGCCTTTACCAAAAAAGTTAGCCAGGATGATTCTTGCTCCTCTTTTCTGAGTATTGATGAACAAAGAATAATTTTATCAATAGGCTTACTGCTCTCTTAAAAGTTATTGCTTTTGTGGTAAGTTACCTTCATATTCTCCACCTGGGCATGCGCATCCTCTCTGAAACTCTCGGAAGAAAGTTTAACGATACCATTCTCCAGAAACAGGGTATGAAGATCAGTTACAGCCTGTGGAATAAATTGCCATGGATTAATTCATTTTCATAGTCAGAGCCAGATCTCTCCAATCAACAAGCAAATTAGGCAACAAGAAATAACTCTGAAAGGTTTCCAACATTACATGATACAGGAGACTGCTTTCGATGTCTCTTAGAGAGAAATAGAAATATTTGATTTAAATCTGTCCCCATCAAATGATAACGAATAGAAAGCTACCGAGCCTTTGTCCAGGCCCTCATTATTTGTACCCCGGCACCAGCGTTTCTACGCCCGCGGGAAAGTGTCAGGCCTTGAGCAACACAAGCCGTCAAAAGGTCTGCAAGGGGTCGGGCACTGATAAGTAGTACCAGAACCCCAGGTAAACTTCTCCGGCTCAACTCTTCTCAAATCTTTCCGCGGGCGGAGAGACGCGTGTCCCACAGCGCTAATAGTTACCGTTCTGTGTATGTCCTCCTCCTGAAAGATGGTACCGACATGACTCCATTTGAACGTTTTTAGTAATGCGATCCGGGGTTCGTTTAATGAAGTGTCATCTGGTATCGTACGGTAAAAATACGGATAGTTCTTTTTATCAGACAGCTCAGGTGATGTACTGGAATACGATATCTGTTGTAAATAAAAAAGGAAAACAATTGATATTTGCCTTTTTCTGACTGAGGATCGAATTGTGCAAAGAACCACCGCTGGGTTTTACGAAAGCAAGTGCACTGAGGAAGGAATCTCAATTAACCCTTTAACTCCCATGGGTGACCAAGACAGAATTTCTCCTTACAATATCAATACAATATCAAGAAGACAAGTGATGAGAATAAAGAAAAATATCAATTAGGGGATTATAAGTTGATCCAATACCAAATTCTCCAAACTAACATCTCAAGAACTGTATGGGATATAGTAAAAAGAATTACCAATGAGATCTTGGGATTTAAAGGGTTAACCTTTTACTTTCATTTGGAGATTCCTTATTAACCAAGAATAAAGTCCTTGATAACTCAGTTTGACACAAAAATAAATAAATAAATAAAATACTCGGGCACTTTGCCTTAAGCTCGGAAGATTTTAGTGTCATGTTACTTCAGTTGCTGTATTTGAGCTGCGATCGAATAAAACTATTAACTCTTACGAGAACGTTGTAGAATGAAAATTCCTCCTAATATACTAGACATAAAAATGTTTCATGCTTATCATGTCATCACTGATATTTTCAAGTTGTCTGTCACCTTTCGTGAATAAAGGAGCAATATCATTCACATTATAATTTTCTCCACGATATACCTGTGGTATTGCCCATTGATCAAGTCCAGCCAGAGCTGCAACCACCGTGCTACACGACGAGAACCCAGCTCCGAGGAACATGATTTTACGAGGCTGTTTATGAAGGAATTCAAAAAGGATATGTTCTGCCCAGCCAGGTGAACCCTGCAATTAATAACCTCATGTTAAAAATCAATAACTCTCTAAAGATCTGAGTATTTTTGGGCGAGCTGCTTAGCGGAGACGTACTACACGTTTTTCTCACGTCGGTTAACACGTTCGAAGTCTAAAATCTTCATTATGTAATCAGACGTGTGAGATTTCTGATGGGTCTGATTTGTTCTTCAGCAAAATAGACTTGGAGTCGACGATATTGCAAACGTGGAAAGCGAAATTTTATTTTACCTTGAGCCTACTTTTCTTTTCTTCTTAAATAGCGTAAACTTGATTCTAGTAGATAGAAAAGACGGGTTCTGGCAAATTTTCAACAACAACAACAACAAAAAAAAAATCAGAAGTTTCTGGAACTTTCCTTAACAGCACTCACTATCTCTCCTGCCTTAGCTTACTCCGGTGAAGTGAGACATTGGAGTAAGCTAAGACTTATGGAAGGTAGTGAGTGGTGTCAGTAAAAAAAAAAAAAATTGGGGATACTTCTGATTTCTTTTTTTTTAAATGTGCCAGAACTCGTCTTTTCTATCCACTATTCTAAATGCGATTCACTTTCATTATCCAGCGAAATTAAGCAACAAAGTTCCTATTATTTTGTGCTTTAAGTAACCATATCAAACTCATGGGGTACAAATAGTCTTGACATGAATGTAGTGACCACGCCCACTTCAACACCCCACTCAAATCGAGCGTAATTTTCGAATGTTTTACCATCGTGCGGATTCTCTACGGAAAAAGCACTCAATGTACCTCTGAAATATTAAACTATAATATTGTGGCTTTCTATTTCGCTAATTTTCTAACTTGAAGGTAAAGTTTTTCCCTCGTCATTTTTACCTTTTCTCCGAGCGGTTGCGTGAAATTAACAAGGCGTTTTTGATCAAAACACGACCGAGCGAAGGGTCTCGGGCGATATCTCTTTTACGCAGGCGCAAACTAAAAATGTACCGCCAGAATCAAAAAGAGGAAAAAATTTCCTTTGTTTTGATATGTAAAGTGTCGAACAAAAAGCAGATTTACCTTCGTCAAATGGCGTTTCAAAAAAGCTGTATCTTCCTCCTTTTGATTTTTCCTGTTTTGTAAGCATGAAAGCAGTAGGAGAGGGATCGGGAAACTCAGAAAGCGCTTCGGGAATTAATCTGCCATCGTTTACTTACAAGATAAACAAGTAAGATTTGTGAAGTTCGTTGAAGTATGAAGTCTAAATAAATGCCTTTTTAAAGCTTGTTTGCTGGATTTTTCGTAAACTTCCCTGATTAATTTTTCGTTTCAGCTTACTAGTTTATACTATTTCAAAGCAATGTCAAGACGAAGACGGAGAACCATGAGTCGGTCCTTTCAACAATCGTAAACAAAGTGTTTGAGCAATCAGGTATACGAGGTGTAATAATCAATAGCCGCATATCAGAAGTCTTCAGAAAGGAAGTATTCTGCCTTCAGAAAGCTGTCAAGAAAGCTAATAATCGTGGCGGAAGGCAATTAAACGGGCCCTCGGTATCGATTTAATATCATATCGATCTCAATATCATACAGTTTTGTATCTTTCTTCCGTGGATTCGCCTTTCTAACGAGGGTGTATGTTGAGAATTCATTGCAAAATCGCTTTGTGTTTTTTAATTTCCCTCTTTGACCTGTCCGCCATTTTGAAAAATCGTAACGGAGAGCATGCGCATTACGTGGGGTTAGTGGTTGCGTACACCTGGAACCGAGAAAAACAAATGTTCGTCGCACTGGGGAAAGAGTTTGATATGTTTATGCTGCCAAGAGAATCAGTACGCTATCAAACTTCAAAAAAACAAAAAAATTAAAAATTAATACAGCATCAAAAAGGAAAAAAATTAGAAAAGAATAAAACAAAAAATAACGTGCAAACGAAAGCAAATTTAGGAAATCCTTACTTTGGTGTCGTTCCAAATCATTCTTAGCTCATAGTCCTTTAATACTCCGGCTCTATTCACGTCATCGAGCGCCATTTGCGCAGCTGGTAAAATACCTTTACCGCCTGTCCATCCGTCATTGTGCTCTGACGTCAGAGGAAATAAGGCTCCTACGTAAAGAGGCGTCTTTGCGCTTACGTGGGGAAGATTATTAACCAAGATGTATAGAGGGAGCACATGACCATAGAAAGACATTGTGATTATATACCTGTGACATGAAAAAACAACACAAATAGCTGGAAACATTACTCACGAGAGCCAACAAATAATATATATATTCAAATTCTCAATATCATATTTCAAAATATTTTTACTAACTAGTCATAATTATCAATTGCTTTGATGAAGCAATTTCTTTTGGTAACACAGTGCTGATATTAAAAATGACATCTCGTGAAATTTGACCAGACAGGGTCAGGGACAGCTTGAAATCGTTTAAACGTCATCAGAAGGGTCTTCCGCATTACCAAGCAACATCATGCTTCACTCACTAAACTGTATTTTCTTTAAATCATAAGTTTTTGTAGGAGCAGAAAGTACTTCGTAAGTACTAACTTAACCTGTACGGTGTTAGGAAAAATCTTGACGTTGTAAATTAAGTTTCACTCGAAGATTTAACGTTAACAACTGCCAGGCTTTTTAAGAAACAACTTAAAATGAGAAACTCAAATTAGGAAATTGCTTGAGGGATTTTGAGATATAATAAGAATAAACATTTGAAAATACACCATTTTTTTTTTCAACCAACTACGACTAATTTCTACTGTAAATTTTGCACTCACGTTGGAAGACAACAAAATATTTCTTTTGTTGGCTGCGTACAAGAAGATTTCCACAAGGTTGATTAGCCTGTAGGAGGTTTTTTCGTATTCGACTGATTAAGAATCTTCAATTTCCAACAGGCTCATCGTTAACTTGTTGTAGCTTAGAGCTCTGAATTTTTTAAAATCCTCTTGGCTCAGTCATGATCAATTCCCTACTCACTTTCAAGTAAAGTGTTTCTAAAAATTTATTCGCTAGTATTTTACAAACCTTGCAGTGCCCGGCTAATAAGCCCTGTAATAGTCGTAATGACGGAAACATTAATTCATGAGTCTTCGTTCTTAACACGAAATTCATGTGGTGAATGCAGCCCAAATTCCCCGTGCTTTCATTGGCCGGTATTTTCCTTCAAATACCTTTTCTTGCTCAACTGATTACAACTACCTGGAAACCTCCGTAATGATGTTTTATTTAGAGGTTAGAAATTTATATAAGGTTGGCGAATATAATTTAAGAAGGTCATCTATATTTTCTTTTTCAAGCTGTAACAATTTTCCCCTTTCTGGCAGGGGGTTCTAAGAGCTTTATAAACAAAAAAGCAGTGTTTTGTGTTTAGGCCTCAATAAATCTCTCACCGAAGGTTGTATAACTTGTTAAGAATAAATTTTCACGCATTAGCCATTGAAATTTCTGTCATGGTCAATATTGCTCCAATTTGTTTTCAAATTGAAACAGATGCCCTCGTACCATTTGTATGCTCTGTCGCCTTCTTCCAAGAAGGCCTCTCGTGTTTGCTCAAGAGAGTCGGAATCATCGTCATCTTATGACTGTCCTCGACAAATTTCAAACGTGGTTTTATAATCCTCGTTGGAATTAGTCGAAAGGTCTTATTTTACGGCTTCTGAAGAGGAATTTGCTTCTCGTATAACGAAACTAACTAGTTTGCTTCGCGGCCTAAAATAATGTCCGCACTTAACCACAATAAAATCACCAAGGCGTCACCAAGTCTGTAATATCAAAGCGTTATTTCCAGCCTGATAATTAAAGCTGCCAAAAGCTTTAGATTTTGCACTGCAGCGATTCCTATTTGACACCCGTTTCCAGCAGTGCAATTGTTTTAAACAATTCCGAATTAATTTTACCCACCGAGTCAAATGTTATTCCTTTAAGGCGTCGGGTTGGGGATCATCCAGTTATCCATGTGCGACTCTTGATTTTTGTGTAAAAATCGTCTCTTGCTAGACAAGTCTTCATGAAAGAGGGATTCGATCGATAGCTTTTTAATTTGACTGTGTGCGTTAGTACCTCGAAAGCAATTAAAGTTGCCGGAAAACATTTCGGCTTTTGTAAGAGTCATTTCCGCTTAATGAGTAAAATTATCATTATACGCGCTTGCTAGAAGAAAGCAATTAGTACAGAACTAATTTACAGTCTCAAAATATTCACTATTTTGGTCCTTATGCATACACCAGCTAAACTTCATTTAAATCGACACTTAACTACCTTAAGAATATAAGGTGAATACCTTTGTCACGAAGCCCTCGTTTTACAGATGTAACCAGAACAATATTATTTAGAAGAACGGATACTTCAACACGCGCTGAAGTTTAAAAGAGGGCAAGAATTTTAAAGTTCTACTTTATCAGTCTACATATGTCATTTACAAGATGTCAGTTTTTAATCACGCGCGAGCGAATAGAATTTGACGTAACATGCATCCACTCCTAAAAACCCTGTCAATTTGTTTAGACTTGTGTACAAGCTGAATGACAGACGTCTGTCTATGTGACTGCTTGTCATACTTATGTATTTTCCGCCTTCCTCATAAAAATTAAAAACGCACTGAGCCTGGCGACAATCAAAATGGAAAAAGGTAGTTAAGTTATTCCTTTTCCAATGATCCAATTTAAAGTTTTTTTTTTAAAGGAAGACTGAGAAGCAAATTAAAAAAAATCTCTTCCAAGGAATTTCTATGATTCTTTATTACAGAAAAAAAGAAACAAGCTAAGTTAAGTTAGCTTTCACAAGCTAAGTTAAGCTAAAACAAGATGGGAACTGGTTATTCACGGCAGACGATTTCTTTCTAAGCTAACTAGAAAGGGATGGTTTTACACCTGCTCTATGAGTGTGGAGTGTAACCGCTGGAAATATCCGATCAATTTGTAAACATAATTACTAACTACCCTCCACATTGTCTTCAGTAGTTTCCTAATAAAATTTTGAATCAATTTCCTTTTATCATAGTCAAAACTGTTTTCAGTCCGTCGTTCAATCACACTACGAGATGTTTTCTTAGAAACGCTCTATACTGCGAATTTTCATCCCCTATGCTGTCTTAACTCAATTCAAAGTCTTTACACTATGGTAAAATATTTCCATAATGACAAAATTCTTAAAAATTGGCTGAAACTACAAAATTCTCTGATTCTTGGCATATCGTTTTTTACATTAGTTGCACTGAGTGGAGTTCAGTTAAAGAGAAAGAATTCAAGCAGAACTCAACCTGGCATGCGGTTCAACCCCCTTTTGCTACGAGGATTGAAATATGGATAAATGTTTTGTTTCCACTGAGTAGAGTGTACTAATTTTCATGTCTTAAAAAAGTCAGAGGGCCTACCTGTTTTCCATCTTGAAATTTGAAAAGCGTCATTCATCATGCATTCCGCTTACTGCTTTTGCGTTTCTCTTCAAACCTCGTTTTTATTGTTATTGTGTGGTCTTGCGAATAATTAGCTACTTCTTTTAATTCTCAATGGAGACATCAACAAAACTAATTGGAAAGAACAAAAGTACTAGCTAAAGTATACGATTAACATGGGTCATTTCTTTCAGCTTCACGTGAGATGATAATTAATTGTGTGCGTTGAAATTATAATGAACATTTTCGTAGCTAGTTAACACTTTTCGTTTTGCATCCTTATCGATCGTCGGTAGTAAAAAATATTGAAAAGAAAAGACAGACAGGAAGAGAAAAAAAACTTACACCTGGGAGATTTTTTTAACATATCTGTTTGATGTGAGTTTTCTTCTTTTAGCAGTATGTTAAAACAAACTGCTGAACTATCAGTCTACTAAGAGTCCAGATTTTAAACTTTTCTAGGAAAACTTTCCAGAAAGACTGTGAACGCTAGATATTTTGCATCCAATAATTTTAATAATTCTGATCTAAGGAACATGTTGCCTGCTTTACTTTAAGTTCATTACACATCATCGTCAAGTCAATAAAGATAAATAAACAAAGAACAAAGAAGAGAGGAGAGCTTTGGTTTTGTTTATTTGGTTTTCTCGAGTGAAGTTGTGATAACTTTAAATTAGCCAGCTGTCATTGTCATGAAAATTAAGAGAGACGGTTGTCCTACACTTGTGCCCTTTAGTGGTTGTTTACTCGAGTAAGGAAAAATTTTCTCTCATTTAGAATAAATTGAATAAGTTGTAACGCTCGAATGCCGACTCTCAATTTCTTCAACAACAACAACAAAAAAAACGATGAAAGACGAAATTGGACCGTTCTGTTTTGAAGGATGCGTTTCCATGATGACCTTCGTGAAATTAAAATTGTATGACCCTTAACTTAAACGACGATTTTCAAGAGAGGATGAATCCTCTCTCAGAAGGCTTGTGATGTAAAGCGCAATAAATTTTGTCGATCAGCCGAACGAATTTTCCATAATTTTGCAAATAACAGGTTTAGCTTTCCTAAGTCTAGACCTTGATTCACTCCATCTAAAATTGGAGTTGTTATAGACACTGAAACTGCCATTGCAACATCGCCTTTTAAAAAAAGTAACCCGCTAAAATATAATTTGAATTAAAGCCTTTTGAAAACATAAGATGAATCGATCTCGAACCAGCCCTTTTTAACTATGCCACAACTATACGAGAGAGTTACCAAACCTTACCATATCATGATCAAATGTAGATAGGGGACGTTTCGAGTGCTTTCAGTTACTGTAAAGCTATGATTTCGAATAACTGAATCATTCGTGCCATTGCCGATTGCCCCTAGCGCGATGACTATCCTCTATTTATGTGTTTTTTCGTTCGGTTTCATTGGTGCATTCCTTCGTTTTACCTACATCATTAAGACGTTCAAATTCGATGCAAAAACTGGGTCACACAAGCATTATGTGGCCTATGAATCAAATCGAACCAAACAAACCGGAATGCATCGTTTTAAAGGTTCCCTCTCGACGCGGCAAATTAACAATATACAGTTAAAAAGAAATCAGTTATCAAAATCTATTGCTCCTCATAACTTATCTGCTTTCGATGTTATCGAATTTAGAGTTTCAACACATGTCGATAACCCGCCACAGGCAACGGGAACATTTGAATGGGAGTGGGAGGGTGGGAAGGCTATTAGTGGGCTGCAGCTGGCGGCCCAAGGATCACGGTTACAGAACTGCATGCCGGTTGGCCTCTAGAGGCACAAATCATCGTTCAGGCGATGATTGAACTATATCCTTCGAAGGCATAGAAATGCTTAGTTTCTGTAGAATTTAAATATTAGAATAAAACAAAACACAACGGAAAGGAAAAGAAAACGATAATTCTCAACACAGTCATTAACTGGAATTATTTCCTAGAAAAATTCAACCTAATTCGGGAGAGAACTTTTAAAAAATGTGAAGGTGACATTTTTAAGCCACTTTCGAAAGCTTTAACGATTTTCGATCGGACGGTTTTTATCCCACGCAGGCTTAACGAAAATTTTTACCTTTTTTAATTAGTGCATTCGTTAAAAGTCTGAATTTAAATCTCTATTATCCATTTTAGATTAGTCATGCGGCTGACTCAAGTCATTTCTTCCGTTTTTAAGTTTCAGCGAGCTTCTCGTGCCTACAGATAAATTCAATACTACACAGATGGCCAGAAATTAATTGAAAACATTCGTAATCTTCAAGTGCTTTTTCCTTCAGCGTTGTTTGCTTGTCTGTGAAGAATTTTTAAAGTTAATACCTTATTGTAAATCCCACACCACTTCTCTCTTTCACCAAAGTAATATACATCTGCTGCGGCCGTTAGTTCGGCAAATTTGCCAGAAAATCTTTGATTTTCGTCTAATTCAACTCCAAATCAATAAAGGTAATAAAAAACAAACGACAAAAAAAAAAAAAAAAAAAAAAAAAAAACTAAACAAAGCTTCAGTTTCGCTCTTCAAGTAAATTTGTCACAAGAGAAAGACTGCATATTTTTTAGACTTGCTTTAGTAGGTTGTAAGAAAACCATTTCGAAACTCCTCTCCTCCTGTAATGACAGAGCACTGAAAAGAGACATGACATTCTACGTATTAAAATTTCATTCTCTAACCTTGTTAGTTTACATACAATTTCTCTAAGGATTTATAAAAAATGCCGGTGGGAGCTCCTCACAGACTCTCTGCACGTGTTATGGGTGTAGGTACTTGTAAATGAGCCAATGTGGAAAGTTTTACCAATCTAGGCTAGAGGAGAGACGCCATTCAATATCACGGACGAGGAAGAGATGTACATCGGATAAAAACAACACTTCCAATTGAAATGTATTCACTTACCGACTCAACCTTCTAATTTAACCAAACCGATTGGAGAATAAACGCCGGCTTATTTCAACGAAGACGAAAGTTAGTTTGCTTATGGCTCACATTGATAAATAAGGCGATTTTCCATCGAGCGGCGCTCCTTAAAGGAAGAGATGGATTGAAAATTGCCCTAAGGTATAAAATAACAATCAAGGTACGTGATCACGTTTCATTTAATTGTTAGGTTTGTTGATAAAAACCGACGTCGGGAAAATTGTCATTCATAGGGTTAGCTCATCAGTGATTGTTAAACGCGAGGTTATTATTTTTTCTTTTTTCTAAATATTTTATTACCTCGTAACTGCTACTGAATTGAGCTCTAACCGAGAGTTCTCTCCTCATTTTTGTAAAACGGTCACATTTCTATTTGACAAGTTTTCAAATAATCAAACATTTTCTTTACCAGTGTAAGTGAAAGAAAAAGAGCGACTTTATTTCAAAAACTCTCAATATCGTGAAACTGACGAGGCAGTATTTAAATAAGAGGACGTGATAAGGAAAACTTAAAATAACGAAAATTTCTTTTGTAGTGGCGACTTTACAGAGGAAGGAAATTAGAAAGGTTTTTAGTGAAATAAACCTCCAGATTTTTTTTAATTAAGTGCCATCGATTATTTCTCTTTGATAATGCTTTTAAAAAAACAAGCTTTCTTTGACAGTTGCATTTGTCACGAGCGATTTTGGCTTTTATAAGGAGAATTTTTGTCACGTTCAAATACACACTGTCATGGCTTACCGCGATCGAGTTTCTCAAGCTGCGTAGAGGAACACCTGGAGAGGAGTGTTGTTCATCATTCATTCGTTATCAGCAAATTCTAGATTACCTCAAGACAATCGACAATGTCTCGAAAAAGAAAAACTCGGCATTTTTCAATTCATCAACGCACCTATTCGCAAAACTTCGAGTTTTTTAATGTTTCATACTTCCTTCCGCGCTGAAAGTCGAGTTATAGTGCTCTGACCTGAAATTTGATGCGATTTTCGATAACGATAAACTCTGAACTAGAGATTTCATTTTAAAAAATCAGTTGATAATCAATACCAATCAGTTTGAATTGACTTCAAGTAATTTCTGAGTAACAAAAACCCAATTTATACTGAAAATTGGCCTTTCATGAAGAAAAAATGGGTCAAGTCGGTTTATTAACAGTGAAAAACAGAAAACTTCTCAGAATAACTTTGCAAGACAAGCTGTTTGGCATTTCGCCAGTATTGTAATAAGACATAAAAACCTTCAGATATCAATGGATAAAAGGAAGTTGAATCAAGAAGAAATTTTGACAGATTGAAGAGGAAAACCAAACAATATTTTAGCAAGATTTTTCCTCATCAAGTTCCATCCTCCCCCAATACAAAGAGGTATTTTGATCATTTTATTGGCAAAACAAAATGAAAAACAATCGTAGTAACTCATACAGGCATATATTGTTGGCGAATGTGTCAAGATAAGCTGCAAGTTGGAGTAAAGGCAATATATTACCACAATAATTCTACTAAGAGGACGGGAAAATTGTGACAAAAATGAGAGATATTTATAACACGCATACGATATTCAAGGAAATATCAACAGCACTGATTACTTGATAGCAACGATCGAATTATCCAAACAGACATCATCAATCTAATTTGTGTAATGTCTACATTCTACATCCTACATGATTCAACCTTGAGTATCGTAAAGCGAAAAAAAAATCAATTCGAGCAAAAGTTTGAGCGTCATGCGAGGAGGTCCGGCGAGGAGAGACACAACTTTACCCATTCAATGCTCACATTGTTGACTAAAATACTGATCGCCCACTTTACAATGGATGAGTGAGATTTAAGGAAACGAGAGTGATAAGTTAGATTGTTGTGCACATGTCTGAGTACACAAACAAAATGGTAAGATTAAGCTGTAGGAGGGGCGGGGAGGGGGCACTGGGTAATACGGGTGGTTAGGGCAAAGTCACTGGAGAGGGGCAAAGTCACTGAACGTAACTGCAGGATAAAGATTTCAAAAAACCAGGCTTGTTTGGTATACTGGTGGAACAAAACGTAAAAACATCAACAAACAAATAACAAAGCGAGACTGATTTATTGCAGGCACTCTGGGTGCATGAAATGTCAACGCTCTTCTATCATGAGCAAAAATAATTATAATCATTATATCATACAAAATCACTAATACATTCATGAAAGATGTATTTTTGCAACTAGATGCCATGGAAACTGAAATGATTACAGAACTGTTGCTGTAAGCTCAATAGATTCTTACAGGTGATTTTACGGCTTCATAAGCACAAAGCAACATAAACAGAAAAACTCTCAACCAAGCTTGGAAATTACGCAGTTCGTTGCAATCTGATGAATGAAGAACGAGTTCAATAGCGAACCATTTTGTTCAGTGGCTAAAGGACGACATTCGAAGATTCTGCATCGTGTTTCTTGCTGCAAAAACAAAGAAACAATTGAACAAAGGAGTAAGTTTAACTAGGTGTGTCTGCTTCTTACCTTATTGTTAATTTTCAATTGGGTTGAACCGATGAAAAAGTGAAAGATTCACCTCAAGATACATGGCGGTCTAAAATTGCAATTACACTTCTAAAATCCGGATCAAAAAGTACAAGTGAGAGTCATGCAGCCCGAAACATTTGTGTTGTGTTCAAAGGGAAAGATGTCCCACAGAACAGCAGTTTCAGTAGGTTGGGAGGAGGGGGAGGTAAACCACTTCATCACCATCCAGGAGGAGTAACAACACTACCTACTGACCGCT